AAAAAAAAAGATCTTGTTATGGTTTATGATCAGCAATAACAGGATCCCTACATTAAGTCCATGTGAGGGTCATTTTTTAGACACCTTTGGAGGTAGAAATACGATATGAAAGGCATTAAATTCCTCCTCTTGTTGAAAAAGATGCCGTTAGTTTATTTTCCAAAATGTCAAATTATTACCTTTCGTTCACAGAGCAGCCTGGAAACAAATACAATGGTGTTTTATCCAGCTTACAGATGTCTTATATCATTTCTTGGCATTGACGTTCTCCAAATTTAAACACAACCTTTTTGCTGCAATTTGGAGGAAGTGATGTGTGAAATTACATAGTGTAGAAGCAACTTTATGAAAAAAAATAAAAAACTCAAAACTATTTCCACTGTGATGCAGGCTTCATTGTTGATTCTGTAAAAATCGCCTCAGACACACAAGAGAGGGAATACGCAATACGTTGCATGTTGTCGAACAAATCCCATGTACATATTTGGAAATCTAATGCAATGATGAATGAATAATACCCTTTGTTATACAGTGGAATCATTACCAGGCGCATTTAGCTGCTGACAGCTTCAGACATCACTGTGCTCACACTCGCACAGTTATACAAACACAGTCGGTGGTTTCTGTTCCCCAAAGGAATGTAGGAGGAATAAGGTGTTGATTCCCAGCGGGGATAAAATGTTAAATTGAAAAATTCCATCTTGAATCCAGAAAACAATCAACCACTTGTCCGTGTGTATGCGTGTTTGTGTGTATGTATGTGTGCGCATGTGTCAGTATGGCAGAAAGCCTTGTGTAAGCATGGAAACTGCCTCTCCAACATAAAGATGCATAGAGTAAAACATACTCTGAGCTGAGATATATACACACTCACACAGTAAAACCCCAGATATTCAGGGGCAGCACTGACCTCATAACTTCAGTCGTTACTCATACAGTCATTCATCATTCACACACACGCCCAATGACTCCAGTTTGTCCATCCTGATGAAGCATAATGGATATTCACAACTACCTAACAGACTGTCTGATTTACTTCCAGTCGTCTGCTTCACACCTCATTCTCCCTACCATCACTTACACAGCCAAGGAAATATAAACACACATACACACACATTTGTGTAACAGACGCAGGTAAAATCTCCAGAGCCTGGCATTAAATCTTGTCTTGAAAACAGCTACTGAAGTCATCACATTAAGCAAAAAATAAACCCCATTCAAAGAGTCCAACGGAGAACTTTTCCTGTCAGCAGAAAGTAGACCACCAACTTCCACTTCTCTGTTTCCTTCTATGAATGAATTGCCTATAAAAAGGCATGATGAAACTGATCAGCTCTACTTCTCCATCTTCCCGAACCGCATTTGTTTGTAATGTAAAGAAAATAAAGCAGCGGGACTAAAAGGGGTTTCTCCAGGAAAGTAAAAGAAGCCACAGGACCTACATTCACTTCCTGACTGTAAATATCTACTACTTCTGCTGCACAAACTGACACTTTTATTCCTCCAGCTGGGGGAAGAGAATCAATGTCATCCTTGTCCCGGTAGTCATCTTGCACAGCAACGCTAAATCAGTGTGCCTGACTCATCAGCTGTTAATGAAACTTACCAGACACATCCCCAGCCTTATATAGTAAAAGAGGTTAATGTTGTAAAAACC